GTTTTACCTGTGTACATGTAAATGCACCACGTGTGTGCAATGCTCACAGAGGTCAGAAAGGGGTGTCGAATCCCCTGAAACTGGAACTACAGGTGGCTATTAGCTGCCATGTAGGTGCTTGGAATTGAACCTGGGTCCTTTGCAAGAGCAGCTAGTGCTCTTAACCACTGATCCATCTCTCCAGTCCCAATCATATCTACTTTTGCATACTACTTTATAACTTAAGAAATGGTTTCTGGCACTATTGGCAGCTTAACAAATATTTGGGGCAGTCAGTTACTCCCATATGGGCCCTCCCCCCCTAGTCCCCTATCACTTTCTCTCTTTTTCCAGTGCTGGAATTGAACTCCAGTCTTCTACATGCTAAGCTGTTCTTCCATTAAGCTGCATCTTCAGTCCGGATTGGAATTTTTGACTCTCTTCCTGCCATACCTGCCAATTTTCTTCAAACTTGCCTGCTGTCCTTCCTATCTTAGTAAAAGGCATCAACTTTCAGTAAGCTGTTTAGGATAAAAACAAATAAAACAAAACAATCCTATGAGTAACCCTTAATTCTTCTTTCCCTCATTTCCCACATCCAATCCATCAACAATGCATCCTGAACATCTCCTCTTCTATCTCCACCACCACTTTCCCGAGTCACCATTATCTTCTGTTTGAAACAGTGCAATGGCTTTCTAGTTGCCCTTTACTGTTGCTTCATTATAAAAACTGTTTTGTTTTCATTTTATGTTTTAGCAAGAGCGATCTAAAATATCAATCAAGTCATGTATCCCTTATTTAAAACTTCTTGGTTTCTATGTGCACACAGAAGAAAATTAAGATGGTTCTAGCAAAGCTCAGCATGATCCAGCCATAGCTTACACTCTGGCTCACTTTGTTCCTACCATATAGATTTTCTGGTCCTTGTGTCTTAAGGCTCTGTTCTTCCTGAATCCAGCCCTATCTGTCACAAGGATAGCATCTTTCAGCCTTCAGAGCTTAGCTCTAAACTTTATCTTCTCAAAGAGACTGTTGTCAACTCTACACGAAGAACCACTCCCCTTCACACAGCTCTGTCACCATCTTATTTAGTTTCTTCATACCATACTTATCAAACCCAGAAGTCATTCTATCCACATGTCATCGATTTCTACTTCCCTAGAATATGTTTCTTGAGGCAGCACCTCTGCACTTAAAACAGGGCCTGATATACAGTGGCTTTATTTTGTTTTTTTATTTGTTTTCAAGAAAGAGTCTCCCTGTAGGCAAAGCTGGTGTGGAACTCACTATGGAGACCACACTGGCCTCTATTTTAGAGATCCTCCTGCCTCTGGCTCCCAAGTGCTGGGATTAAAGGGATGTGCCACCATACCCAGCTTACTCGGTGTTTTTTGAATAAGCAAACCTCATAATAGTATCTATCTTGCTTTTTAAAATTATTTATTTAACATATATGAATGGTCTGCCTGAAGGTATGCAAGTCCACCATGTGCATGCAATGCCCCCAGTGGCCAGAAGAGGGCGCAGATCCTCTGGAACTGCAGTTGTTCCAGGGGCACAGATCCCCTGGAACTGCCAATTGTTGGCTGTCACAAGGGTCCTGGGAACTGAACCCTGCTCTGTGGCAGAGCAGCCAGTGCTCATAAGTGCTGAGCTATTTCCCCAGTTCCTGTCTTGTTCTTTTAAAAGTCATATTTAGCCAGGCGTCGTGGCGCACGCCTTTAATCCCAGCACTCAGGAGGCAGAGGCAGGTGGATCTCTGTGAATTCAAGGCCAGTCTGGTCTACATAGTGAGTTCCAGAACAGCTGGGGCTACAGGGAGACCCTGTCTCAAAAAGACCAAAAAAAAAAAAGTCGTATTTATAATATATCAAACCCTTGACATTTTCTTACTTTCTTCTACGAATGATAAACGTGAAAAGTATAATTAATGAGTGCTTAAATCTAGATGCTGGACAGGAACTTTTAACACTATACAAGAATAAATGGTCATATCTGGTCTACCACTAGACCTAACTCTTTACAATGCGGGCCAAGATACTTCAATAGAAGAAAATCTGCTTTTGATTATTTTCTTCCAGTTAGGCGTTTCCTTTTTCTAACTTAAAATTCATTACATTCTTTTCCAGGATTCTAGGCTATTACATAATTCCTCAAATGTCAACTTGTTGAAACGTGGCCCTTAATGTCACACATCTTTCTCCTTTTGCACTGTTCCAAAACATCTTAAATAGAAACAGAGCTACCCAGGTGACATGAGACACAGACCCTGAGACCACAGCAGAGAGTTTCATGTGACCCTCCAATGACTGGGCAATGCTGTCATTCTCTTCCTTTCAGCCCCACATACAGAAGAGCTGGAGCAATAGAGCAGAAGGGGTTAGTGGCCTGGAAAGCTGTGTACCAGAGAAGACAGTCTTGGATGTGGGTAATGAGAGGGGAACTGAGACCATCTGAACAAGAAAACAAGCCAGGCCTTCACTGAAATACAATTTAATAATTGTATTCTCAATTTCTGTTTCAGACGGAAGAACATTTTCTGTACTTTCTACAAATCCACAGTGGAAGCTTTTGTTCGTTATATTATTTCAATGTCCTTTATATCAGAAGTCCAAGATATATGCTTCCTGGAATTTAGTACAAGGAAAGACTCAATTGAAGATCAAACTTGGAATTTTTTTGACTCAAACAATGCAAATTATATGAGGTCATGGACTTCTGAGAGCTGGAAGGGCTATCAGAAATCAACTGGTCCAGAATTTTCTGGTGAGTTTCAGGATAAGGAAAAGGAGTCAAATATTAAACAAAATTTTTATTTCTCTAGCTATTTTATTTGGGTTTTTGTTGTTGATATAATTGTTGCTTGTTTTTGTCTTTTTGAGTCAGGGTCTCCCCAAATGGCCTGGAACTCTCTATATAGAACAGGCTGGCCTCGATCTTCCAAAGATCACCTGCCTCTGCCTCCCGAGTGCTGGGTTTAAAGGTGAGCACCACCACACCCACCTTCTATAGCTATTTTATTGAGATACAAATCACATATCATGAAATTCACCCTTTTAAAATACCTGAATTCAGTTACTTTTAGTATATTGTTATGCACTAGTAATTTCAGAACATTTTCATCATTTCAAAAAGAAACTCCACACAGCAATAATTCTCTATCTACTTATCAAATAAGTATCTTTGTCATGGGAATCCCTGGACCTTTTATTGTGAATTTGTAAGTTGGGGTTTTATTCAGTCATTCACACACATTGTTTTCTTTTTTGCCCTTCCTTCCCTCCCTCCTTCCTTCCTTCCTTCCTTCCTTCCTTCCTTCTATCTTCCTCCCCCCACCCCCTTCATTTTTTAACAAAATTCTTTTGAAACAGGTTATCACTCTATGGCCAAGGCTGGCCTGGGACTTGTGGTAATCCTCCTGCCTCAGCCTCCCAAGACTTACAGGTGTGAGCCTCTACACCTGGGTTGTCCAAATATATTTAAGAGCTAACATTTTGGCGTCTATTATGCTAAATGCTTTTCCTTCCTCCCCCCACCCCCTTCATTTTTTAACAAAATTCTTTTGAAACAGGTTATCACTCTATGGCCAAGGCTGGCCTGGGACTTGTGGTAATCCTCCTGCCTCAGCCTCCCAAGACTTACAGGTGTGAGCCTCTACACCTGGGTTGTCCAAATATATTTAAGAGCTAACATTTTGGCGTCTATTATGCTAAATGCTATGGATGCCTCGGTTAATTCTCACAATAAAATCTATATAAAAATGTCAATATCAAAGCAGAAAAAGATTAAGGCCAAGTAAAGAAGTTTTCCTAAAAGTTCCACTCTTCAGTAGTAGGTTAAGAATGGACAACTAATATTCTCTAGAGCATATCTTTGTACTAACTAGGGCCTAGAAAGGTAAGCTGAATTAGCCAAGAATTCATAGCATTCTTCCCCCCTCTTTGGTTTCCTGACTAGTTTATAGCTAAATTTGGAGCCCAATTACAGTTAACTAATCCCAGGTTCCTGACACATCTCTCCTTTCTTTAAAGCCCTGCCTTTCAAAAAAAAAAATGTAATTGTGACATTGTAGGCTACCTTAAAACCTTGTTGAGTTTGGTTTTTCCCAGGTGTCTCTCTCCCTGTAAGCAACGTACTCCTCCATCACTTTCGTCATACAAATCCCAGCTATCTTTTGATGACTAGTAGAGGTCAGCATCACACATTTTTTCTCCCCTCCTTCTCGCCTCTGTGTACCCACAGCTCTGCATCTCTCCTCTGGACATTTGGGCCTTGAATTTAAACTCCTTCGAGTTCTTGTCTTATCCCACCTACTAGCCTCAGGCCTGGCAGGAGTTAGTGTCAATTCTGAATGCTGGGCAAGTGCAGGGCAATCAAGTGCGCTGAAGTTTCCTATCCATCCACAGAGTGACTGCTTCAGGAGGAGCAAGAACACAGCTCTCGCCTAGCCGCCAGCCCCAGGGAGACTCACCGATCGGTAAGGCTCCGACCTCCCGTGCATCCCTAGGCAGGCTGTGGAATCCGGTCCTCACCACACAGAGGCCGGCTTCTCGCGACCCGGGCAAGAAGTAATAACTGGCCGGGACAGGGGAAGGCGGCTGCACCGACAGATCCCATCTGGCCAGCGGACCTGGTCCGCGGCTAAGACACGTCACTGCTTTTTGACAGGGACCCCGGCCAGGCGCGGGGTCCAGGCAGGGCAGGGGGCTTCGTCTGCAAGGTGACCGAGCAAGGCCTCGAACCCAGGTCACCGCCCCGGGACTCAGGTCTTGGAGACCCAGAAGGCGAGTGCGGGCAGCGGCCTCCTCCGTCCCGCCCTGGCATGCCGCTCCCGAGCGCCGAGACCCGGACGCCCGGGTCCCCG